TCGAATATCACACTTATAAATTACCGGTACCCTACTAGAACGCAAAGCCACCCTCTGCGTGAAGCAGTCGACACCGCCGCAAAAAAAGCACGTGCAAAGCGACCGTCGATGAAGGTCATTTGCTTGCCGAAAAACGCTCACCGAGAGAAACTGCAGGCTGCAGCGCCGCCGCGCGTTGTCGTTAGGTGCCGCGCTTTGTGCGTGAACAGCGTCACTTGAAACAATGGGAAGCGATATCGAGCGCGTGCCGGAACGCGTCGCGATCATATACACCTCAATGTTCGCGATGCATCCAGTGTAATCGTACCTTAATTCTCGCTGCAGCCACCAAGTCTATGGGTTCTGCGGTTGAAAAAATATTTTGCAAAGGATGTCTTCTGTAGATGTCAAACAAGAAATGTTTTCATTTTCTAAGGTAATTTCCGTCACATTTGCGATAGGGGAGGTGGCACTAATCCAATGAGAAAAGATGGTTCCATCAGTATAGAGGACTTGCACGGGTCACGTGACTTTGTTTACTGGACGGCAAAAAAACAAAAACGTCTATTTGGCTCCTGTCAGTTGCAAGTCAGATTATACGTTTCCGTTTTGTTTGGCTGTTGAAAATGGTTATTTCGTATTGTTCCGTTGGCTGTACGTAAAGTATAGGCAACGAAATGGATCTTCAGTTATATTCCACTGTTTTCAAAAGATCTAGTAAGCAGGTAATCTATTAGTAAGTGTGAAAAGTTGAATAAATAACTAAAGTTTAACGCCAGCGCTCATGCAAAAATAACCAGAATTCAATTGAATTCACCATCTAGGAATACGCTCGCCACCGCATCTCTGATCACCCTGGTAGTCTCACAGGTTCCAATCCCATGCGGGGATAGTTATGTGCAAGAGGATTGCAGCTCTCCTCCCAACGAGGGTGGTTCACACGACCGCTGGTCGATTACGACATCCCCCATCATCAAGTTCATGCTTCTGAAAACAAATAACTGGCTAACAAACCCCGACATAGAATGGTAATCGTACGATGTTGCACCTTGCAATCCTCCCCCTGATTGTTTCGTTAATTAGCAGGTAATCTATTACTGATCTGATACACAAACTTGACACTGTCAAATGATGATTAGTGTTCAATTTCTTTTCAGGAAAAAGGAAAGATAACCCATTATCAGCTGCTTATGTCCCATCAATATTTGAATTTTCGCCATCCTCAAGAGAGAAAAAGAAAAGTTAGAAAAGGGGCATTTTAAAGAAAGGAAAAAGGCAGGACCATTTCAACAAATTTGTTAACTTGTATGCATTGCAATATCGCTTTGCAGTTGTTAGCATGAACATTTCATGCGTCTTTCGCCTAGACTAGACCTACCACACTTCAAAAGAAGCCGCCTATACCCATTTTCACTAGAACCATAACACTGTAAAATATTTGATAGAAATTACCCCTAAGGCATCATATCTTCCATTTGAAAGGAATTCCACTATACGTACAGCCAACAGAAAAATACGAAATAACCATTTTTAACAGCCAAACAAAACGAAACGTATAATCCGACTTGCAACTGACAGGAGCCAAATGGACGTTTTTGTTTTTTTGCCGTCCAGTAAACAAAGTCACGTGACCCGTGCAAGTCCTCTATACGAAGAATTTTGACACCTTGTTTAGGGGATTCGATTGATGGTATATTTTAATTAGATTCGATATAACATAAACCGTCACAATTTCGACATTTCAACACCGTTTAAATTTTAAACCAACTGCTTGGGGCTGAATAAGGGGGTTATGCGAACAATTTATTGGACATCAATTGTTAGGTAAAACCATCCCATGCGTTGAACTTGTTCATACCGCAGTGCGTCAAAAGAAAAGAGAAACGGAACGAAATAGAACTACGGGGGAGTGGGGGAATACAGAGCGTGGAAGTTTATGGAGATGCTGAGGTTCCTGAATGAGTTTCTAACGTGAGTATTAGTTTTTTTGTGGCAAATGGATAAATATCCGGAGAAGAACTTCAAATGTTGACAGTGCCGGAAGATGTAGATAACGTGCAAATAAATGCCGAAGACTTATCCAGTGATGACACCAGTTGGTAGACATCAGCATCCGGTAAAGATGCATTTACAAAACAACAAGATCCTGATAAAACTATCACACAAGTCCTGCCAGCATTCAATTCAGCAAAAGTCCTTGAACCTATTTGTGTCATCACCCAACTGATTTTCAATGTAATAATCATACCTTTATTTACACACGGAAAAGAGAGTGATGATGCTGAAAAATTTGCAATAATCCTGGCAGATACTCTATGCAGGCTACCAGTACAACGATGTGAACTGGCAAAAATTGGAATTCATAAGCTTTTGTGGCCTGTCTTTATTTCAGTATAATATAAATTTGTTCAAAGAGCAGCAATGATGTATTTGCCAGGATACAGCACCTTCCTCTGAAAAGTAGTAAGCAACGGCGTTGCGAAACGTGTGCGTTCTATGTTGCACGACCACCACTTCTGGGTATGTCATGCAGCATTTGCGTGACCACTCTCATATACTCGTCAACTGTTGCAGCTCCAGCAACATTTTTCTTCAAAAAATTGTGGTGGCAGCATGTTTCCGTTATAACAGAGTCAATATTGCTGGATTTCAAAGGTACTGGTTGGTGATAAAATCTCCACTGATTAGCTAATTCCAAATGTGCGTTCCCCATTCTTCTTGCACGCAATAAGTAAAATTTCCCTTCCCTTGCGAAAGACTGCTGCCAGAAAGTGATCTCATCACATTTTCTCCCAGTAGAAACGCTTTATCGCCAGTGAACACAAAAGAAACTACCGTTACATTTCGTAGTGAAACGAGAGTCGTAGACTACTGGTAAGGCGATAAGGACTATAAATGTGTTTGTTAGGGTGATTAGAATAAATAGATCGTACAGGCACTTTTTTTTTGATGACGCGGTTCTGTCTGAATGATTCTTCAAAGATGTTTATTGTTGAGTCAAAATAGTAGTCAAATAATGATGAAATAGTTGTCAAACAGGAATCCGGTGAAATACAGTGCTATTACACAGGAGGGACCAACTATACAAAACAGAATTCTCGGATGTAAATTCGAACCACACCTAATTAATAATACTTAAACCCCCCGATTGATTAAGATACAAATTTATACGTCCTACCTCCAAGTGGCTCACGCAGAAAGAGATCCCGCCAACGCCACAATGGTCAAGTTTCAATGACCCAAGGGTATCGTTGCCAGTTAAGTTACAATAAGAGCGATCACTGTCAATAATCATGGCCGCGATAAGGACAACCGTTAGCACGCAAAGAATGTTGCTTTGCGAATTTCGAATTTGTTGCGTTGGCGCAGTACGTCAAAATTATGCGTTAACGCAGTGCTGTGAACAGGCCCTAAAAGTTGCGGTGTTTTTCCGTCGAATTTTACACATGTGAACAGGAAAATCTTGCACATAACAATGTTCAGATATTACTCTAATTTTGTCTTGATCTTTTGAAAATTTAAGACGTCTTTGCATTTATATTTCTAAAACTTTACATGTAACATTGTAGTGTACCAGCAAACCTGTGCAATCTACAGTGCCATCGCAAACTTTTTTTTAAAGAAGACGATGTTGTAGTGCAGATGTTGATCGTAATTAGATCGCTAGCTTTGTATTAGTGCGATTGGATTTCTTCCAGCAGTCGCCCAAGAAGGACTTTTTCGTCGCTCATTGGTGTGACCCTATCTTAATTATTCTTTGCATTTCGTTAGTATTGCTTGCAAAGTAAATTCAACACGAAAAGAGAGAGGTCGTCATTCAATTGAGCAACAAAACACTTCTGACGTACAGTTTTCTGATTTTCAAGATTTGTGGCAAGTTATTTTGCGATTGCTGCTCAAGTGGCCTAATCACGGAAATCATACGTAAAGGGTGTTGGTTAGCTTCGACCATGTTGTTTTTGAAGTTCAATAGTTTCAAAGATTTCAGCATTCGCTTTTATTCACGACTATTCTTCTGGTTACCTAATTCTTAAACTTGTTATCACAGCAGGCTATCAGTGCTGTCTATACGAGGTAAAGACGACCATTTTTTTTATTCTGCACAAGCATTTTTATGCAATAAACCAGCGTTTCTCAACTTACCGAAAAATATTAGGAGACATCGCACTGAAGATATACAAATCGAAATAATTAAAAAAAAAACGCATTTCAGGGTGAATGGAGGCGCAGAAAACGAATACTGTTCATTGAGCAGTGGCTACGTCGTTTTTACCAAATATATAATGATTCATCTTTTCTAATAATGTTTGTGCTTGGTTTCCAACAGCGGAAACAGACTTTCTCTTCTGAGTGATTTTATATTCACACGTGTCAACGTTTGTGTTGCAGTGGGATATGTGACCCGGACGTGAAGACAGGAATTACTCATCCACGTTAAAATGAGTATTTGGGAATTGTAGTCCAGAAGTAATCTTGAAAGCAATCTCATCCTCAAACGATGATTTAAGTGATTTCAGTGTTTTGATAGAAGAAACAAAGCCCCTCTTCACAAGTCTATTCAGAAACACATTTTTGATGGCTTTATGAGTGAGGCAGAATCCCACTGCGAATTTCCCATCCGCAATATTGTACAGGAAGCAGGATATTTTAAACTTCATATTTGGCAACCTATCTCGAGGTGCCAATGTTGTTAGGTTGCTCAGATATCGATAATGAAGCTCCAAATGTCTTTCGTGTGCTAGGATTGTGTTGTGTTCTTAAGTCCCTTTTATTTGTCAGAAATACACGAGTATAGACGTTGTAGCAACACCCGTTATTGACCAACTCAAACCATCGACTGGCCGGGAACTCCGGCCAAGGACATAACGTGTTAAGTAAATCGCATGAGCAGTCATGCGATTTATGACGTAATAAATACACCACATCACCTCCCTCCTAAAACTAAGAATTGTTAGTAACATGATTTAAAGCTGACAATGATATAAAATGACGTAGTAACCAGAGTTTTACATTAAAACAATTTAAAATTGAAATCTATCTGGTCTCCTTCTCTGCCGAAGTGGATAACGTCGTTCCATGTCAGTTGTCGACTTTGGAGTTGGTGTCGGATTCTGCGATTCGTCTGTTTCCGGTGTCTGATCGTTGGGAGAGTTCGGTGGTGATAACTCTATGTTTGGAGACAACACTGGACTTTTGGATACTGCACTGTTTGTTGCATCTAGATCCTTACTTGCAGGCTCGTCATGTTTAAAATGATCATCTTCAGATTCAAGCAGTTGCTCTTCATATCTATGTTGTTGCTCGATCTTCAAGTCAGATTTGATAATCTGGTCTATATGCCTCTTCCAACTAACATTAGGAGCAACACTGACCATATAAGTCAGTGGACCTATTATTTTTGTTATTTCACCACGTTTCCATTTCGAATTCCCACGGTAATCTCTAACGAGGACTGTTTCACCAACGCTAAATGATCGCAGAGTTTTGTTACTCTTCGTCCGCACTGTATATTGTTTTTCCTCAACACGATTACGAATGTTAGGTTTGATCAAGTCCAAAATAGTACGAAGACGTCGTTTACAGAATAATACAGACGGTGCCTCACCCGTTGTGCAATGAGGGGTATTTCGATACCCCAGTAAAAAATCATCCAAATGTAAGTCGAATTTGTTGGCATCATTAACTGAGCGCATAGCGCGCTTGAACGTTTGTACAAATCGTTCGGCAGCGCCGTTAGATGCTGGATGATAAGGTGCAGATTTCTTATGCTTGATGCCATTTGCTTTCAAAAAGTTCGCAAATTCATGTGAAGAAAATTGAGGCCCATTGTCACTCACAAGATATTCCGGTAAACCATATCTAGCAAAAAGACTTCTTATGACACGGATAGTACTATTGGCGTTAGTTGACGACATTTTAATAACTTCCGGCCATTTTGAATATGCATCTACAACTATTAAAAACATCGCCCCCTTGAATGGCCCGGCAAAATCTACATGGACTCGGATCCATGGTGCTTGGGGCCACTCCCAGTGGTGTAGAGGAGCTTTCGAAGGTTCATTTTGCTGCATTTGGCAGTCATTGCAATTTTTAATCATATTTTCTATGTCTTTGTCTAATCCTGGCCACCAGAAATAACTTCGAGCCAAAGATTTCATTTTCACAATTCCAACATGACCATCATGCAATTCTTTTAACAAACGTGATCTCAGAGAATTTGGTATGATTACTCTTGAACCCCACATCAAACAACCATCATGTGCCGTTATTTCACGTTTATGAAAATAGTAGGGCTTGATATTGGGTTTTTGTGACTGGGACAACGACCACCCTTTCATTACAGAGTCATATACTTCCATTAAATCAGCGTCACAACAAGTTTGATTTCTAACCTGTTTGCACGTTATCGGCAGAGAGTCACAAATGGCAAAGCTGTTTACTGTAGCATCGGTAATATCGTCTTCAGTTTCGTTCTCTTGTGCTTGAAGCGGCATTCTAGATAACCCATCTGCGTTACAGTGTTTTGCCGTTGGTTTAAATTCAATTTCATAGTCCAAACCTGCTAGAAACAAAGCATATTTTTGTAACCTTGCCGCTGTTGTAACAGGGATACCTTTGTTGGGATGGAAAATAGACGTTAGAGCAGGGGTTCTCAAACTTTTTGTGTTGCGGAGCCCTTGAAGAGTTGATAAATATTCACGGAGCCCCACAAAAAAATTTCAAAAATAAAAACAAAAAACACATTGTTAATTACCGTTTAATGTTACCGGTTAAATTTAAACTACTTAGTCTAATGACTCGGATGTATTTGCTGCTTTGTATGTAAAAAAGATTCAAGTTGCGGTTCAATTGAAGTCACTTGTAATATCAGATCATTTTCCGCGTTTAGCCGGTTTCTATATTTAGTTTTTGTTGCTGCATATAACGAGAATGTTTTCTCACACAAATAAGTAGTCGGAAATCGTGTTAGCACTTTTAAAGCTTCGAGTGATATTTCTGGAAATTTTCCCATCATTATGATCCAAAATTGTGCAAGTTCTATTTCTTTGAATTTGCTTTTCAATTCAAAGTTTGAAGATATATCAATTAGCTGTTCTTTTTCTTTCAATGAGAGGGTTGCCACGTCGGGAAAAGCTTGAAAAGGATTTTGAATCCAAAGAAAGTTATCAGCGTTGATGATAAAATACTTTTCAATTGATTCAGCTAAATTCGTTAGATGCTTGAAGATAGCCTCTTTTATTTTTTCCTGCAAAACAAGCTGATTTGAAAGAAGATATTCACATAAATTTCCAAAGCATTCATGCTTTCCTTCAAGGATACATTCCTTCCATAGATTTATTTTCCTTTGAAGTGCAAGGATGGTACCCTGGGCTTTGAAATATGTTACTTTGTTTCCCTGTAACGAAATACTTACTTCATTTAGATGGGTAAAAATATCTGACAAATACGCCAACCTTTGAATAAAGTCACTGTCTGTTAATTTGAAAGCAAACTTGTGCTTTTTATCAGATAAAAAGCTGTGAACCTCTTCATGCAACTCATAAAATCTTGCCAACACCCTCCCCCTCGACAACCAGCGAACTTCAGTATGTAACAACAACGATTTGTGAGTTTTTCCCATATCTTCACACAGTAACCTAAAAATTCTGGAATTAAGTGGCCTAGCTTTAATGAAGTTAATAATTTTTGTCACATCTTCCAGCACTTCAACTAAATCAGGAGGCATTCGCTTAGCTGCCAGGGCATGTCGATGTAAAAAGCAGTGAATGGCAACAGTTTCCGGGTTTTTACTTTTTATGTGAGCCACAAGTCCAGAATATTTACCCACCATCGCCGCCGCACCATCTGTACACACACTTGAACAGTTTTTCCATGATATATCATGATCCTCAAAAAAAGATTGGATAAGTAAAAATATATCTTCACCTGTTGTGTGAGTTTTTAAAGGTTTACAGAAAAGTAGGTTTTCTTCAGTTTCAAAATTATAGACGTATCGGACGAATACAAGTAATACAGCTAAATCATCAACGTCTGTGGATTCGTCCATTTGAAGAGAAAATGTCGGACTTTGTTTCATTCTCATAATCAATTCTTTTTGGCAATACTCTGCCATGTCACTAATACGTCTTGAAACTGTACTGTCTGAAAGAGGAACAGCCTCTATACTGCGGACATAATTTTTGCCTATCATGCTCTCAACTAAATCTTTTGCACACGGCTTTATTAAATTTTCAGCTATTGTGTGAGCCTCCCCTTGTTGTGCTATTCGAAAGCTAATTTTATAAGAAGGAATAAGTGCGTTTTTGTGATCTTCACAGACGAACCTTCCAAACATTTTTTTCCTTTCATTTAGTTCTTTGTTCTTCTTTTCGAAATAATCGATGTTTTTATTTTTAAGCTGAGAGTGCTTTGTTTCTAAATGCCGTTTTAGTTTTGCTGGAAAAAGACTGCCGTTTGAAAGAACAGTTCCACATTCCAAACAAAGCCCATTTGGCTCTTCCTCGTCACCAGTCCACGTGAATCCAAAACGTAGATAAGTTTCGTCATATTTTCTTTTCTTAGTAGCTTCAGTATTATTCTTATTGTTAGATTGCGAAGACGATACCACTGCAGTAGGATCGGCAGCGGTTACACACTGTCATTTGTAGTTGATTTGCTTTTATTTACCTTTACGATTTGTAGCCATTTGTCCATTGTAGAAGGTAAAGCAATGGTGTTTTCACCCTCGAAATACAAGTAATCACGTTTCTTATATCTATGCCTGCCTGCGAGAATTAAACTTGTGACTGAAAATGCAACAGGAGAAAGTCAACAAGGGGAAATGCTTTTGAATTGTGGTGCAATCGTAGTCTAACTTGTGTAATATGAGTGTACAAACAAATGCTGGAGAAGATCATACCATGCCGAAGACTGCTGAGCAAAATGAATAGAAGGAAATTATGATTTTTGGACATGTGGCCAGAACAGATCGCCTTACAAAAAACTGCCCCCAGGTACAACCGTACAACCCCTGGCAAAAAGATTATGGAAGATCAAAAGCAAGAACGTCAGACAGCTTTAAGGACATTAGCATAGATGTGTTGCTCTCAATGGCCACAATTCTTGAAGAGTGCTACGACTGGTCACCATTCCGTCAAAGAGAGGGAGAGAGAACAGGAACATAGCTAGGACAATGACAAGAGCCAATGATGATCGATCACTTGCCAGATTCTCCCAACCGAAAATAGCCGCACGCCTGACCATAATTGCTGGTTTATTCATTTTTGTATGAATAGAAAGGAAAATATAGAGAAATTAAAATACTAAATGTTTCCTAAACGGGTTAAAATAAGATAGAAATAAACCTAAATTTTACAAATAAATTATATTAAAGCCGAAAATTTGGTACATACCAGACAAACATTTTAGTTAAAAGTAGTGTCAAAATGTGCAACTACGCAGTACTTGAAATACGGCATTATCTATTGGAACTTTTTAGTTGCATTATGTGATGTCATATTTGAATTCCTGCCGTCAAACTGAGTAGCCACATTTCAATGATACCGTTATCAGATTTTATTCATGCCGTTATTTCTTCTTGACAGTTACAACATTAGACAAGACAGTGCGGTATTAGTAATTAAACTAATACCTCGCGGAGCCCCTGAGTATGTCTCACGGAGCCCTGGGGCTCCGTACGGAGCACTTTGAGAAACTATGCGTTAGAGGACGGTGATCGGTAACTAGAGTAAATTTCCTTCCACATACGTAACAATAGAACTTTTTGACTCCCCAAATAATTGCAAGGGCCTCTTTCTCTATTTGTGAATATTTCCTTTGTGTCTCGGTAAGCGATTTTGAAGCAAAAGCTATGGGACGTTCGGAACCATCTTTCATTACATGAGACATTACCGCCCCGAGACCATACTGTGAAGCATCGCATGCCAGTTTTAAAGTTAATGAAGGATCATAATGAATTAATACAGTGCTCGAGGTCATAAGCTTTTTGGCTTCGAGAAACGCTTTTTCGCAGTATTTAGTCCACTTCCATCTGCAATTAGCCCTGAGCAGACAATTTAAAGGATACAGTACAGATGACAAATTCGGAATAAATCTTTGATAGTAATTAACCATGCCAATAAACGATCTCACTTGACTGACATTTTCCGGCCTCGGTGCGTCACGAATCGCTTTAATTTTAGCATCCGTTTTGTGAAGCCCGTTACAATCAACTTTGTATCCACAGAATTCAACGCTGTTTTTAAAAAATTCAGTTTTACTTTTATTTACTCTGAGATTATATTGTTGCAAACGCATAAGAAGTTTTTCAATATTGTCCAAATGTTCAATGTTATTATCACCCGTTGTTAACATGTCATCAAGAATGCATTTGCTTCTTGGAACCCCGTTTAATATTTGTTCAATTGTTCTTTGCCAAATAGCCGGGGCGGATGCTATGCCAAATAGAAGCCTATTAAACCTATCCATTTCCTTTATGAGTATTAATTGTCAACAATTCCTTCGACTCCTCTTCAACCTCCATTTGTAAATATGCTTGTTTCAAATCTATTTTGCTAAACTTTTGTCCTCCCGCAAGAGATGTAAAAAGGTCATCTATTGTTGGTAATGGATATTGATCTACACAAAGAACAGGATTTACAGTCACTTTAAAATCAGCGCAAAGTCGTATTTTACCGTCTTTCTTAAGAACTGGAACTATTGGAGTAGCCCACTCACTAAAAGTGACTTTGGTAATTATATCATCACGTTCAAGTCTTTCCAATTCCGCTTCAATTTTAGGCCGAAGTGCAAAAGGTACAGGCCTGGGAGGGAAGAATTTAGGTATGGCGCCCTTTTTCAAAACCAGTTTAGCTTTTGTCCCTTTTATACAGCCTACGTCATCAGAAAATACATCACTGTATTTTTTTAACAAATGTTTCAATCGAGTTTTGGTTTCGGGGGAACAGACTGGTTCCGTTGCCTCACGTATATTGAAAATCGTTCTCCAGTCCAATTGAATTTGATGTAACCAATCACGCCCAAACAAACTAGGACCGTTTGTGCTTGCCACGTACAATCTGGATTTACAACTTTGGCCATTAATTTCTATATCGACTTTAAGGACACCCAATGGATATATCTTTCCCCCGGAATAAGTCTTCAAGCAAATTTTTGTATTATTCAAACGAATATGAGACAAATGTGAATCGTAAACATTTTTAGAAATGATAGACACAGCCGATCCGGTATCTAGTTCCATTCTTAGTGTTTTCCCACTGATAATCGGAAAAAGCCAAATTGCACCATTTTTGTTTCTAAGTACGCTATTTATACGTAAATTACCAACCTCTATACACGACGAATCCGACGAATTCTCCAAGTTTGGACTATCACTGCTGTCGTTCTCCATAACATTTGCACTTCGTGCTTTATCATTATCGCGTCTGTCATTCCCCGTCCTTTCTCTGGACAGCACTGGCTTACGTCGTGTGCAAACCTGTTGAATATGACCTCGGCGGCCGCAGTTAAAACACTGGAAGTTTTTATAACGACAACGACATTTTAAGGTATTAAACCGTTGCTTTCTAGAAAAATATTGCTCCTTCACCATTGGCATAACACTGCCACTTGATATTTCGGCCACATCCTTGTTGGCCAATTCCATTGACGTTGCAATTTGAAATGCCCTTTGAAGATCTAATTTTTCCCCATCTTTTGCCATTAACCTTTTTCTAGTAGCCTCATCGAGTATACCAAAGATTAATCGATCGCGTATGAAATCATCCCTCAATGGACCGAATTTACACCCCTCAGACAATTTTCTTAGCTCTGCTGCATATTCACGAACCCCTTCAGAAAACTTCTGATCTCTTCTGTGAAATGCGAACCTTTCCACAAAAACTGAACGTTTCGGTTTTAAATGATCTTGCAGAGTTTTCTTTATAACATCATATGTTTTGGAACTAGGCAAGTCGGGTGCCAAAAGATTGTGTAGTATTTGGTAGGTTTTAGTAGGCAAGTTTGCAATTAACGTTGGTACCTTTTTCTCATCGGCAATATCATTTGCAATAAAATACTGTTCTAATTGCTCACAATAAAGCGACCAATCACTCCCATCATATTGAATCATATTCTTAGCCATTTCTTTGGTTTACAGGGAATTTGTTGCGCGGTCCCGCATATAAACAATAACAGTGTCTCACCAACGTCTTTGCACATATAAACAATAACAGTGTCTCACCAACGTCTTTGCAATCGCTCTAAATTTACGATTCATCAACCTGTGTGTATCCCATCCTCATCGCCCGCCAGTTTGTTGTGTTCTTAAGTCCCTTTTATTTGTCAGAAATACACGAGTATAGACGTTGTAGCAACACCCTTTATTGACCAACTCAAACCATCGACTGGCCGGGAACTCCGGCCAAGGACATAACGTGTTAAGTAAATCGCATGAGCAGTCATGCGATTTATGACGTAATAAATACACCACAGATTGGATCGCCCAGCTCTTTCCAGTCACCTTCTTTTGCTTTAGCAAAGATTCCAACAAGAACTGATCTTCGCGTTATTTTTGCCTCGGTACAGCCGTGATATCACAATTTACAACAAATCTATTGGCCTGTTGGTTTAACTTCGTAGAAAGGCTATCCATACACAAAAGGTCTCAATAAACTACCGTGCCTAATGTCATTTGAAATTGCATCTAACCCACAGTTTCCTCATCCACTTCTTGACGGGCGACATGAATGATTGATAAAATTATTAATCTATAAACTTCTATCGTGCGTATAAGTTCGAAAAAGAGTTGCTTTTGACTGTGGGCATTTATCAAGTCTTTTTTTCCATGTCAGTGAAGGAAAACAGTCTCTCACTTGGTGTTGAAGTTGCTGGAATGCACAAATACTTGTGCACAAGCTTGACCAGATACGAGTCCAAGAAGGACTTTTTCGTCGATCATTGGTGCGACCCTATCTGTTGTCAAAAAAAAAAATTATTCTTTGCATTTCGTTAGTATTGCTTGCAAAGTAAATTCAACACGAAAAGAGAGAGGTCGTCATTCAATTGAGCAACAAAACACTTCTGACGTACAGTTTTCTGATTTTCAAGATTTGTGGCAAGTTATTTTGCGATTGCGGCTCAAGTGACCTAATCACGGGAATCATACGTAAAGGGTGTTGGTTAGCTTCGACCATGTTGTTTTTGAAGTTCAATAGTTTTAAAGATTTCAGCATTCGCTTTTATTCACGACTATTCTTCTGGTTACCTAATTCTTAAACTTGTTATCACAGCAGGCTATCAGTGCTGTCTATACGAGGTAAAGACGACCATTTTTTTTTATTCTGCACAAGCATTTTTTTGCAATAAACCAGCGTTTCTCAACTTACCGAAAAATATTAGGAGACATCGCACTGAAGATATACAAATCGAAATAATTAAAAAAAAACGCATTTCAGGGTGAATGGAGGCGCAGAAAACGAATACTGTTCATTGAGCAGTGGCTACGTCGTTTTCACCAAATATATAATGATTCATCTTTTCTAATAATGTTTGTGCTTGGTTTCCAACAGCGGAAACAGGCTTTCTCTTCTGAGTGACTTTATATTCACACATGTCAACGTTTGTGTTGCAGTGGGATATGTGACCCGGACGTGAAGACAGGAATTACTCATCCACGTTAAAATGAGTATTTGGGAATTGTAGTCCAGAAGCAATCTTGAAAGCAATCTCATCCTCAAACGGTGACTTAAGTGGTTCCAGTGTTTTGATAGAAGAAACAAAGCCTCTCTTCACAAGTCTATTCAGAAACACATTTTTGATGGCTTTATGAGTGAGGCAGAATCCCACTGCGAATTTCCCATCCGCAATATTGTACAGGAAGCAGGATATTTTAAACTTCATATCTGGCAACCTATCTCGAGGTGCCAATGATGTTAGGTTGCTCAGATACCGATAATGAAGCTCCAAATGTCTTTCGTGTGCTAGGATTGGATCGCCCAACTCTTTCCAGTCACCTTCTTTTGCTTTAGTAAAGATTCCAACAAGAACTGATCTTCGCGTTATTTTTGTCTCGGTACAGCCGTGATATCACAATTTACAACAAATCTATTGGCCTGTTGGTTTAACTTCGTAGAAAGGCCATCCATACACAAAAGGTCTCAATAAACTACCGTGCCTAATGTCATTTAAGATTGCATCTAACCCACAGTTCCCTCATCCACTTCTTGACGGGCGACATGAATGATTGATAAAATTATTAATCTATAAACATCTATCATGCGTATAAGTTCGAAAAAGAGTTGCTTATGACTGTGGGCATTTATCAAGTCTTTTTTTCCATGTCAGTGAAGGAAAACAGTCTCTCACTTGGTGTTGAAGTTGCTGGAATGCACAAATACTTGTGCACAAGCTTGACCTTGACTTGACAAGTCAGTCTTATTGCGTCTGTTTCCACGGATTTCGGAATACTATTTGGAACAACATCCAGCTGAGAGCAGGTACGCTCCGATTGAAGGGGAAGCCCTAGTTCGGGCCTATGCATTACATCAGACACCTTATACCCATTTTGGGAAGATCTAATAGTTGCGACTGACCACAAACCATTGGTCCAGGTTTTCAACGATCAATCCCTGGCAGATTTTAGTAACAGAAGACTATTGATCTTAAGAGAAAATGTTGCCATCCAAATTCACCATTGTGCATGTAGCCGGCAAGAAGAATTTTGGACCTGATTACATTGCCAGGTAAACCAGAAGAACTCGAAGAATTCTACAGTCGTAGTAAGCTCCGTCGCACAACCATGTTAAGCCTAAGTCAACACACAGTCGATACCGACATGGCCAATGATACATCTCTCTGTTTTGCTGCTGGCACAACCATTAATTCAGTGTCGCCAGGTATCACATGGGACATGGTGCGAAAAGAGACTGCCTCCGATAGAGTCTCCAGAATGCTGATTGAGCATATACAAGATGGATTTTCAGAGGATTGCAGAAGCGTACCAGCAGAGGTCCGCCCATTCCATAAATTTGCAGACAGTTTGAGCATAGTTGATGGTGTTATACTGATGGGACATGGAATCATCATTCCCGTAACACTGCGGGAACAAATTCTGGAAGCCATACACGCCGCTCACCAAGAAGTCAGCGCTATGCGGGCTAGAGCTGTTGATTCTGTCTTCTGGCCAAATATATCAATTGACATATCACGAATCAGAGACCATTGTGGGCATTGTCATCGTATTGCTAAGTCCAACGCCATGCAACCTCCTGCAGACATAACTCCACCCGATTACCCATTCCAGAAGATTTGCAGTGACTATTTCACATATCGGGGCAAAGAAACTGGCCAATGGTATTTCGATCCGAATCTGGCGCCCATGGCTTAGTCAAGCGGCTAAGAGAATCATTTGTAATACCAGAAGAAATGACGTCTGATGGAAGCTCTCAGTTCACCTCTGGGATAACACAAGAATTTCTCAAATCATGGGTAGTCAGACACAGGATCACGTCAGTCGCGAACCCTCATGCAAATTTTTTTTGTTTCTGAACTTCTGGCGATTACTGTAATAGAATGAGCTTGTATATTGTTATTTATTTTGTTGATATCTCAGTCCAGTGATAATTTTCTTCCCATACCCTTGACGTTTGCACTTGATTCAAGTAAATAAATATCATTTCATTACCAGGTTTTATTTTGATCATTCTTTCGTGTTCAAATTTAGTACAAAATATTATCCCAACACCGTCGGATGGCATATACTCAGTATTATTTAGCCTAGTCCAACTCTAAAAGGTATTAATGGCGTTTTACAGTCAATGTTCTATAGTAGAGTCGTATATTTCATGAAAAAACATTTTTTGCATTGAGGGGGGCGTGTGCACTAATAATTAGAGGTGTGACTTCATCAAAATAGTCGATTGAAGCCTTGAACTTAAGAAATTCTGTAAATACAAATGTGGATTTTAGAGTAACCATTCTTGCTATAATAGTGATTTTGGTGATAATTAATTAGGAAGAATTATTAACCTTCTACTAGACACAAAATCTCGCAAGTTCAATAGAAATTTTGAAAACTTTGGCGTAAAGAGGAGTGCGTTTTACATATATTGCTGAATAGATTTATATTATATTTATACATTATTAGATTGTGATAGTTCACAGATTGAACATCTCTCAATTAAACTAAATGGCCATCTGATATGTCAAAAGAAAAGGAATTGTTTTGTGAAATATGTGGAAAAGGCTTGAAAGCAGCAAGTAATTTAAAAATGCATATGAGAAATCATACTGGAGAAAAACCTCACTCTTGTAGGATATGTGGAAAATGTTTTGCACGATCCATCAATCTGAATGTTCATAAACGAAGTCATACAGGAAAGAAACTAAGGCCATTCTCCTGTGAAATATGTGGGAAATGTTTTTCAAAGTCTGATGATTTGAAACGTCATATGCAAATTCACGCAAAACCATATACTTGTAAAGTATGTGAAAAATGTTTTAAACAATCAAGTATGTTGAACATACATATGCGAACCCATTCAGGTGATAAGCCTTATCCCTGTGAGATATGCGGCAAAAGTTTTTCACAATCAAGTAATTTGTACACACACATGCGAATTCATTCAAATGATAAGCCTTATTCTTGTGAATTATGTGACAAATGTTTTTCACGATCAAATGATGTGAACAGACACATGCGAATCCATACAGTTGATAAGCCATACTCATGTAAGATATGTGGCAAATGTTTTTCACAATCAAGATATTTGAAAACGCACATGCGAATCCATGCAGATGACAAGCAATTCAAGACAATGATAAGCTCATGTGAGATATGTGGAAAATGTTTTTCACGACCTTGGAACTTGAAGAGACATATGGAAATTCATAATAAGAAGAACATTATGGCTGTGAAACATGTGGAGAGCGAAAAAGATGTAAAAAAGTCGATGTGTGATATGAAAAGTCAGAAAATGGGTGCCGAGTGAAATGGAGTGGTGTGTGACATGACAAGACATGAATAAATTCTAGAATCTAGGTCTAAAGTATGTAAACGTTTATAGAAGTAGGTATTCTCGACGACATGCACGATTCACGTTTGAGAAGAGCCAGGCTTGTCCTTGCATGATGCAAGTTTGATATGTGTGAATGTATATTTATTTGTCACTTTTCTTGGCCATATAAACCAAATAATACATTTTGGCAATTGTGTCTTTAGTTTCCCATTGTGTAAAGTGTGTACGTTTGCAGTTTTCTCGTCTAGTTGGCATAAATTGAATTTGAAATTCTTTAATGGTTTTATTAAACTTTATTTACTCTAATTGGCTCGCATTAGTCATGTTTTCCGGGTTAGCAACAGCAAGATTAGCTTTATCATATGAGGTCGCTGCTTCACAAGTTGAATTCTTGTATTTTTGCATAGTATTTATTTCTACAGTGCAATAAAACACAGTGGTTCAATATGATATGTACTACATTAGATATGGACTATTCGAAAACATCTCACTTTAGGATAACAAAATGCTTTTTACGAAACATGTCTCAATTTATATACGTCTGAGGTTACAGATAAAATGAACGATAAAATACATCTATGGATGCCATCGAAAATCACTAAATGTTTGACCAAACAGGTCTTGATAGACAAACTGTGGCCATAAAAGATTCATCTTACTCCTCTTCGGAACTTCCATAGGTTAATTTTAGGACCACGATGTACTAATCGGACTATACATGTGATTCTTTTGGTACCAAAAACATGTTGCGTCTGCGTATCAAAACTTGATTATTTGGAGGAAAATTCGTCATTTTTTGTGCATTACAAAACAATATGCAAAGTTTAAAAGAATAATATTCAATACACATTTAACTGGGGAACGGAAGCCACTGGGATCCAAAGCTGGCTATCAAGCAGCGACACCCACGGTTAGAATATTCAGTTAGATATTACAAGTTCTGACATTTTATGTTGTTGTTATTACTGACGAGCGAGGCAACCAACATTGCGGAGTACAAATTAGATGTACCGTGTTTCCCCGAAAATAAGACTTGGTCTTGTTTCAATTTTCTACCGAAAAACAACACTAGGGCTCATTTTCGGGGGATGTCTTATATTTTCATTTATCAAAAACAAAATTCAACGATATCGATTTACCTGTGAACAACATGTTTTATTCAAAATAACTGCAAAACATAGATTATCCATCATTATAAAACGTGTAGAAGAGATTTCTTGCTATCGACTAGTTCGAAAAAAATCGTTATTGACTATAGGTTTTGTTTTAAGGGAAGGGCTTATATTAAAATCATTTTTAAAATTCAGGGTAGGTCTTATTTTCAGGGTAGGTTTTATTTTCGGGGAAACACGGTAGGTAGATGTAATCTAGCACTAGGGCCCTTTTTCGGGGAATGTCCTTTATTTTCATTTATCGAAAACAAAATTACGAAGTAGAAAATTACGAGATTTCAAATATACAAATTAGGAAAACTGATATGATTTACAATTAAATTTACATATAAATACCACTTTTTTATTCAAAATATATTGACGCGTTATTGACTAGGTCTTATTTTAAGGGGAGGGTTTATAATGAAATCATTTTTAAATTCAGTCTAGGTCTTATTTTCTGGGAAACACGGTAATCAACATTTAGCCTGCTTCGAGGTTGAAAGGGTATTACCTGATTAAGCAGGCTGCATCGAGTAACATAATGAGAGAGCTGAGCTGAGAGAGAGCTGGAGTCGGAAGTTACGGTACCGCTATTAACTAAAGTCCTTTACTTTATAAGTGATGAGGGTGTTTTGGAGGCCATACGTTAGACTCACAATACGGGGAAATATTACAGTAAAACAGGTATAGCAATATTTCGAATTGAAAGCCAATTAGCCTTAGGTCGGGTCTGGTACCGGTACCCTACCAGAATCAATAAATACAAATGGCCATAATGTAAATTTGATAGATTGAAAATAAACGAATCATAAACCAACTCTACGAGAGCGTTCAAATATCATGAAATCGAAACTAGTTGTTGATCAATCAATCATTTATTCGTCATCACAAAAACATCAAATTCACAAAAAATTGGTACTAGGAAACAAGAGAGCTACGCCCAAATATATGGACACGTCTGTTCGCAGTACAGTACGGTTTACCGTACCGTCAGATCACAGTCTACAAATATATTCATACCAAGCAAAGCAGTACAGTAGGACACAAAATGGCGTCCGATGTCCGCAGAACGTTTAATGACGTCATAGCAAACAAAAACAAATCTCACAGAGCTAACAGAAATATTTAAAATAAATAAAAGTAATAGCCTTCTGGGGAAAAATTTTATCTTCAACCACTGAAAATTTCAAAGCAATTGGTCCAGTATTCGAAGAGAAAAGCGATTTTTTTAAAAATGATAGAGACAAATAATAATAACAACAAAATTTTGAAACGATCGTTATGTCCACTACGTGTCCAAAAAATATAATGATAGTTGTGCGACAGGAGTCGCTAGGGACCTTGTTGAGTCGAATCCAAAAGGATCCGATAACAGGATTCGGTTTCGGCTCCGTGCGTCAATTTTTGTATTTCGTGTTTCTAATTTATTAATCAGTGACGAGCGTTCTCTCTCGCGACGAAATCTCTCTCGTTTGATTATACAGTACTTGTGTTTTCTCGCAAATAACCCGCAAAAGCGGCAGACATCAAACGTAATACCAGCTTGCATATCCAGGACGCGAAGACGGGGTTATTGCACCATATTTACGTTGTTACTATCTAGTTTGATTATAATAATAATTATTATTTGTGCCGAGTGCCAACTTCCTGGCGATTTTCCGATTACCTGATTGCAACAATCTTAAATATTTGGAATACGTGAAACATTCTTTATTTTAAATTGAATGACTTTTTTGCGGCCTTTGAGTTCTCGCGGAAAATGATGTGTACCAGACGTTAGATGTTAAAACAATATTTGCGATTAATTTAGATAAAACTTTGTTTTTTACGACATCCCGTTTCCAAAAATACAAAGTTATATTGCAAAACAAGGCATTTTGTTACATTTATTTTGCACTCTCAATAAAATACATATTTTTCGAAATTCAAGTCGCTGATGAATCCGTTCCTATCGTCCACGCTCAACACACGTTTGGTCGAGTGTCGAGCGATATTTTAGTCGATGATATTAAAAGAAACCAGACGTGGTGAAGACATGAGAAAAATTAAGATTTTGCGATTGAAATGAATTTGAATGTTATTTTACGAGTCTTGCTCGCAGAAAATAAACACGCTGACATACTTGACATACCCTACCAAGTGCGGCAATCGTTGCGCCCGCATAAATTTCAGTGGTCTGGGTCTGACCTGTGTGTTTTCTATGCTCTCACATTAATAATAATTTAAAGTTTTTTCATACTTGTTATTTGTATTTCAGAATCTAGTATTAAATTGTATAATGCGCTATTTAATTTAATATATAAGTATTTAGAGACACATAAATTTTGGACAATTCAAGGCAAGAAGTTATTTGTTGAAATTCTTATAATCCATTGTCCGGTTTGGTAACAAATAAAATTCAATTAATTTAGCTTTTTTTAAATTGTAATCTATCAATATGGTGGGAGAATTCCCACATTTGAATAACAATAAAAACAGAATAGGATTCGGTATTCTGGATTAGATTTAAGTATTCTGGAATAGTAAATTATTTTTTGTTGCCCATCCCTAAATTTATAAGTGCCGTTGTTTTGGCTAATTATAGAATAGACCTGAGGGCGACTCACGTGACCCTCACGGGCGACTTGGTGCCCGCGGACAACGCTTTGCTGACCCCTGCCTTAAGTTATTAAGACTTCGGTGCCTAATATATATAAAAGAATACCGGAGATGTAACTAGTATTCTATGTTATCTTGAATTGAATGAATAAGTTTCAGTATTTATTACTGATCGAATGCCAAATTGTGATTAACTGAATGATATTTTTTGAAATAGCTCTTACACCTGCAACCATTTTTAGAGAGGTTAAAAATGATGCTTAAAAGAGAACATAGGCAAAATTCATTTCAACTTGGCCAATATTGAGGTCTTAATCATCCATCCAATCTTTTCAATAAACACTGAAGCACTATTAAAAACTCAGCTATGAAAATTTCTGTGGTGCGCCTTTTTCCTGGTACCTTAAGCACATGTTTTTTTCCTAATTCAGCCCTGGCTGCAACATTCTTGCATTATAATACGACTACGAATTCGTCAGAAAAATAAACCAAGACTATAGAACAGTGTTACTCAACTTCCGCATTTTGACCACAAAAGATGCGACAGGCCACAGAATATTATTACCGTGTATCTGTACTATTTAATTCATTTATTAGTCCGATACGATACTGGTTTGTTTTCATTTCTATGCATTTTAAAACATATTTATTGGATAGCATTCGTAAGTTTGCAGTTGCAACTTACCTCTAGCGAGAACTATGGCAGAATTTTACAACATAAGAGAAAATATATATATACCTAACAGCAACAATGTTTTTCAATGGCAAAAACGTTTCACAATTGGTTTATTCTCAATGAGATTTCTGAGTCTGTATTTTGTTCACATGTACTTGAAAATCTTTTCTCTAAGATCACAACCTGATGGATATGCAATTTTGAACTCTGCTCTTCGTGGTGTCGTTGTAAATTTTCTTGCTTCTTTGACATATGAGACACAGGGATTTTCCATTTTCTCTACTAAAGCAAATTTATTGTTCCACGCGAGTTAAAAACTCGTTCGTTATTTTCGTCGTTTACTTTCTTCTTCTTTGTCGCCATGACCCATTCATTTTAAGCTGGACGCAGTGTAATACCGTTGTGAAGCGCATTTCCGAAGGTAGATAAAAATTGATATCGAATTGAAAAATCCTTCAATATTCGTTACGCCGCAGATATTATGATATATGTTTGGGTTAATCAAAGATCTTTGCAAAATATGCATCGGCGGGCCGCGGGTTGAGAACCCCTGCTATAGAATTAATAGTATTGAAATTGCGGGGAAATGCTATATAATAATCCAATGACTGGCGCTTTTTAACAGTATCAAGTTACGGTGAAATGCTGTTCGAACGCACTACGACTGACGATTTTTAACAGTATCAACTTACGGTGAAATGCTATTTAAACGTTCAACGACTGACGATTTTAACAGTATTGAAGTTACGGTAAAATGCTATTCAAATTGTAAACGACAGAAGCTTTTAG